TTTTTTGTTTTTTTAAGACAGGTTTTCTCTGTAGCTTTTCGCCTTTCCTGGAACTCACTCTGTAGTCCAGGCTGGCCTCAAACTCACAGAGATCCACCTGCCTCTGCCTCCCGAGTGCTGGGATTAAAGGTGTGCGCCACCACTGCCCATTGGGGTTTACAACTTTTGATTACAGGGTGTTAGTTCAAGATGTTTACAAAAGTCTGTAGCTATCTTGACACAACTGTGGGTCTGTCTTAATTCTTAACCAACTGCTTTTCCTATAACTGGAAAGAATGTAAGGCAAAGAGTCATGTAGAAGTAATTGCTAAAGGTTAACTTGTTTAAAGCAGCTGTCAGCTCCAATACCACTAATATATATATATATTATATATTATATGAATATATATGCTAATATGAATAGGCATACTTTTTTTATATTCCTAGGCTCTTCATTCTCCCTTTGAGTTTGTACCAGAATCAAACCCTTGATTCATCTGGATCTATATACAAGCCTGAGTCTGAGTCTTTAACAGTTGTATATAGGTCCTCAAGAGCCTGGGTAGCTAAAGGTGCATATTGTGAGCAGAGAATCAAGAGCTTTACCAAGGAAATACGGCTCTTTATAAACTTAATAAACATGTTAACCACACAGGCACCATTGTTAATAGTAATAGAAGAATAATCAGAGTCCAGTAATGGAGGTCAATAGAGTGGTTAGTCAAGGGGACCAGTTAAAGAGTTTATGAAACCAGGAATAAGATTGTTGTCTTTCATTTTGTCTCTTAAGGAGACTTATCTTAAACTCTTTTAAAGAATCTCTTATAACATCCGAGTGGTTAGCATAAAAACAACACGATTCACCTAGGGCAGCACCTAGCCTCCTCCTGCTGACTTGTGATTAACGCGGCTGCGCCAAGGGCAGCTGAATCAGCTATGCCTTGTCCTACCAGCAAAGGGACAAGAATAGGAGCTTCCCTCTTGTGTCTAAGCTCCAGGAAGGTGCCCAGATGTCCCCTGACAGCCAGGCCATCATAGTAATATATTTGTGGGACTATTCGTACCAAAACACAAAGTTCAGGCTGGTTTCCTATGGTGAACATGTTGGTCGATATACAAGCATATAGTCCCCATGGCACAGGCGAACCAGGATCCTCGGGGTGCAACCAACTGTAAGTTATCTAAGCTGAGAGTAGTTTTGGCGGTCTCTTTGTAAGTCTCCTGGACTATATACATCTGAACTCTTGCATATGGAAGAGTAGGCAGTCTTATAAGAGCAAAAACAGGTAGCAGCCCCCAAGCCATCTCCTAAAGTGAGAGGGGCTTCCCAGGGACAGGCTGTTTATTGGTTAAAGATACTTTTTTAAGGGTTGTGGATGGGTGCTCAATCCAGATTCCTATTCCTATGTAAAAAGGAGGCTTAGGCTTTAGGCATGGCCAGGAATCAGCAGTGAGATTAACATCAGTAGAATTGAGAAGAAAATATGTGGTCAGAACCATTTCATAAAGTGGGTCTGTGGATGCAGATAGATTAATCTGATTTTCTATTATTTCCCTGGCTATTGCAACCATGTTTGAGGAAGTGAAGTTCTGAACTTCACTGAGCAAGTGGAACAGATGTCGTGTGAGACCAAGTTGTGGGGACTTGAGTGGAAACCTGAGGGACAGAGTGGGGGCCGGAGGGGGCACTAGGATATCATGTAGGGGCCCTATGGGTAAGACGGGAGTCTTGACCCGTGAACACTATATGGTGAATACTGTTCCCATATGCTTATAAAATGAATCCCCATGATGTTCCTGGGTCCCATGCAGTATAAGCTGGAGGGTCTAGAGAGACCCATTTGACTTTGATTGTGATAGGATTACAAAATGTGGGTTCTGTACAGTAACTATTAACAGATGCTGATATCGTTATGAAGGGGTAGCTGAGGCCCAAGTCTCATATCCCCAATTTGGACACCAGAATTCTCTCTGGTTACTATAGGCAGGGGTGCTGGGAACTGGGCAAGCATAGTAGTATTTTTCCTGGAATGTTTTTGAAGGATGTTTAGCTAACTCAATATTCACATGCTCTATCAGATTCTAAGCTAAGTTGGAGGCTCCCCATATGGGCAACCTTTACAGGCTTATGAGTGATGGTCAGGTCTGGCATTAAGTAACATAAATCAGTCCTAAAAACTGGGAAATCTTTTAAATCTTCTTGGACTTGTTCAGATATGAGGCAACCTGTCCAGAAGTCTGAAAGTCTCCAAATGTAGGCGACAACAGAGATCGGAGGGCCCCCAGTGACCTTAGAAATTAGGCTAAAGTAAATCAGAAAAGTCAAGAGGGCCAGAGAGCCCTCAGTTTTATCTTTAATGGGTCCTCAGGGTTTGTAAATCTCTCCATCAAGTGTACAAGTCATCCATTCTTCCATCAGGAACAGGTTTGAGATAAGTGATGAATCCCTGTCCTGATCCCGTCAATTTTCACAGCTGTCAGGGTAGTCAGGATCACTGTGTGTAGTCCCTTTCAGCATGGTCCAAGGGCTTCTTGGTGATGTCTCCAGACCCAAACAAAGTCACCTGGTTTATGGTTATGTGTCTTGGCAGGTGGCAGCTCGTAAACATCTCTCAGGAGTGGAAAAATGCAGTCTTGGACTGCCTGGATGGACTTAAGAAACTCGTATTCAGACATCTTAGCCATGACTTTTGAAGGGAGTTTGGGGACCAGGGGTGGAGGCCTGCCAAACATGGTTTCATAGGGCATCAATCCAGAAGAGTAGGGAGTGTTCCATATCTGGAACAGGGCAAAGAGTAGGAGGGCTGTCCAGTCATCACCAGTTTCTAGAGTTAAGTTAGTTAAGGTCTCTTTTACGGTCCAATTTATCCTTTCTATCTGTCCAGAATTCTGGGGGTGTTATGTACAATGTAATTTCTGATTAGTCCCCAATATTTTAACTAAGTCTTGTGTTACCTTAGAGATAAAAGCTGGTCCACTGTCTGACACTATTACAAAAGGAAGTCTATACACCTTGGGATGAGTTCATCAATGATCTTGACTACTGCAGATGCCATCTCTTTCCTAGTTGAGAAAGTTTCCACCAAAAAGTGTCTATAAAAACTAGAAGGTATTTATACCCATACTTGCTAGGTTTTACCTCAGTGAAATCCACCTCCAGTGGACTCCAAGGGAAGTTTCTCTTTTCTACTTGTTTTGAGAGGGCTCTTTTTTTTTTTTTTCCTGTGGGCTAGTAGCCTGGCAAGGGAGGCACTGAGTCACACAGTCCTGGACCAATTGATTTATATTGAAATTTTTGAATTTTGAGTGTTCTTTTTATTTTCTTTGGCCTAAATGTGTTCCCCTGTGGATCTGGCAGATCACGGACTTGGCCAGTTCAGTTGGCAGGATGAGTTTTCCATCTGGGTTTGATCCCTAAAAAGTGGGGAACAAAGGGTAATACTCAAGAAGGCTGGAGAGAGAGCTCATTGAGTGAGAGCAATGGCTGCTCCTCCAGAGTACCTGGGTTCAATTCCTAGCACCACATGGTGGCTCACAACCATCTGTGACTCTGGTTCTACAGGGATCTCACACCCTCTTCTGGCTTCCTCAGGTACCAGGCACAGAAATGGTGCACAGACATGCATGTAGACAAAACACTTGTGCACATGAAGCAAATACCATTTTTTTTCTTAAGAGTAAGTACTCAAGTAATAACTGCTATCTACAGTATTCTTCTTCCTAGCACTCCATCCTACCTGAACACAATTCTGACTTTTGCATTTCACAAGTACCTACCCCTAACATCGGTGTTATCACACCAGTATTCCCTGAATTAACAACACAACTCAGGAGAGGAATCACACCAGTAATACCAGCACTTAGGAAGCCGGAGCAGGAAAATGCCAGCGTTTGAGGCCACAATGGAATACTTAGGAAGTTCGAGACCAGCCAAGGCTACATATAATCTGTCCCTGGGGGATGGGGGGGGACAGCTAAGGCATACTTACCTTTAATACCAGCACTTGGAAGGCAGAAGTAGGCAGATATCTGAGTTTGAGGCCAGCCTGGTCCACGTATTGAGTTCCAGGCAGCCAAGACTAGTGAGACCTTGTCACAAAAATTAAAAACATGGTGCTGCATGTCTATAATCCAGGCACATTGGAGTCTGAGGAATTCCAAGTTCAAGTCCAGCCTGGGATAAATGAGGCTCTATATTTTGTTGTTGTTCTTGTTTTGTTTTTCTTTTTGGTTTTGTGAGACAGGGTTCTTCTGTGTAGGCCTTGCTGTCCTGGAACTCACGAGATCCACCCGCCTCTACCTCCCCAGTGCTGAGATAAAAGGCGTGCACCACCACAGCAGGCCTAGCTAAGGAGACCCTGTTTTAACAACAATAACAACAGCAACAAATACCTCCTCAATACAGATCATCAGTTCCCTATTTTTTCATATATTAAATACAAACGAACCAACACTGGAGGCCACTCTAACGCGCATCTTTGCTGATAATAAACTTTTATTACTACGAGTGAAAAAGGAGGTGGTGGGGGGACGGGGACGCAAGAGCATTAAAAAGATAAAACTCAATTAGGAAAACAGCAAACATCAGATTTCCAAAACATCAAAGTGAGCTAAAGGAAGGCTGGCGAAGTCAATTACGAAATGTCCAGCGAGTGAGACCTTCTGTATTTCTGGAGTGCGCTCTGGGCAGCGATCGCCTTTGGAAATGGAGCCATCTCTCTGGCCAGCACCTAACTCGAAGTTTCTGGGCGTCTTCAGAGAGAGAGAGAGAGAGAGAGAGAAGCACGATGTACGAGCCCCAAGCCCCGCGGGGGAGCCGCGGGTCCGCACTCCCGGGCTGGGGCCTCTGACCGCCAGCGTCATGCCCCGGCCGCAGTCGCGCGGTCCCGCAGCCCCGGATGCCGACTCACTGCGGCCCAGACGCTGCCACGGTGGCAGGCGACAGCCCGGAGCACCTCCGGGGAAACGCCCGCCCGACCCCGGTCACCCGCCCGAACGCGGCGCGGAGCCGGGAGACTCACCTCGGGGGCGCGGTCCCGCGGCCTCGTCCTCGGTCCCTGAGGGTCCGCAAGCGTCGCCGCCGCCGCCGCCGCCGCCGCCGCCCGGCGGGAGCCGCTCAGGCCAGGGGCGCCCGGAGACACCCTCTTTAGGGACCAGCGCGGAGATACGGTCCGCCTCCCTCCCGTCCGCCGGACGCGCCCCGGGAGCGCGCGCCCGGGTGGCGGGAGCGCGCCGGACAGGGCTCCGCGCGGCTCCGGAGCGCGCGCCCGGATGACGTGGGCGCGCCGGGGGCGCGGGGGGTTGGGGGGGAGAACGGCTCCGCGCGGCTCCGCAGCGCGCGCCCGGATGACGTGAGCGCGCGGAGAGGCGGGGCTTCCTGTGGCGGGTCTCCCTCAAGGCCTCGACTCGGCGCGCACTAATGGCGGCGGTCTCTCCCCGGCCGCCCGCTCCGCTGCTCGTCGCCTCCTTAGGAGGCGCGGAACGTGCCAGGAGCTAGGTGGGCGTTCACCTGAGAAAACAAACAAACAAACAAACAAACAAACCCCGCGTCTACCTGTTTCTTCCGGTGCCTCTTCCCTTCCTCGGGGAGATTTCCCTGCATCCCGTCAGTGAACTTCACCTGAGCCCTGTTCTCCCAAGAGTGACAGTTAAAGAAACTCCCTCGCTCTTTGTGTTCTTGAAAGGGCTCCGCTACAAAGGCCACCTCTTCCCTATAGGATTTATTTGTTTGTGTGTTTATTTATTTATATTTATTTCGTTGGGTTTTGTTGTTGTTGTTGTTCCGAGGCACGGTTTTTCTGTGTCGCTCCGGCTGTCCGGGAACTCACAGAGATCCTCCTGCCTCTGCCTCCCGAGTCGACTTCTTACGGGATTTAGATAAGACTCCGAGATGCTCCCCTTTGTTTACTCAAGACACGGTCAGGCGTATATTCTCCACATTCCCGATCTATAAATGATGAGCAGAACTGCTTGTAAAAGCTATGTGGTCAAAATACCAGCTGCCCCGACGTCACTAAACTTTAGGGAAGCATCTCTCGTTGTTCCAGAGTCCCAAACTTTCACACACCCTCAGCCCCAGCCAGGAAGCACCTCGCCTCACCCCCGCTTTATTATTTTATTTTTTTTCTACTCCAGAAAGTACATTGATTGACCTTTGGAATAAACAAAACTGATATCCTGTCTGGTCCTCTTCTACTGTTGGTTGGTCCCACTTTGCCACACCTAGGTCTTTCTGGCCTTATTTATTCTTCCCTATACAAGAAAAAGCGCCCCCCCCCCCAAAAAAAATAAGAAAAGCCCTTATCTACCTAATCTAGGAGCTAGTTGCAGATCTCATAGATACAATAGTCTCTTTTCTATTTTTCTGGGTTTTTTTCCCCCCCAGACAAGGTGTTACTATGTGTCCTGGAACTCCCAATGTACACCAGTCTGGCGCCGCCGCCTGCCTCAGTCTCCCAGTGCTGGGATTAAAGGTGTGTGCCACTACACCCGGCTCCAACAGTCGCTTAAATCTACATTTAAACTTCTTGTTGGAGGCGGAACCATAGTTTTTTTACCTACTAGACAAGGTCTCTCTCCGCCACGAAGCTACACCCCCACCTATCTTGGATCTGGTTTTGGGCTGACGTTTGTACATTTGCCCTGTGGCAGTAGTATTCCTCACTGCAGCAGGGCCATCCCTTCCCGACCCACTGCGATGACCTTTCTACATAGAATCTAGATGGACCTAAACTGGGATTTGTTTTTTATTTGACAGTTGTTAGTGCCTGGAGTCAGCTTGAGATTGGGCCTCCCCTACCAACCATTCCCCACCCAGGTAAAAGCAATTTGGGATTCATCTGAAGACCGACTGAGCGGCGGCGGCTCAGGGATCCTGTGGTGAGTATGGCTCTCAAAACAGTGCTCCTGCTCTCCTTCCTGTCTCTTGAGTTACTTTTGCTGCCAGTAGTGAAAGATGCATGTCCACATAGTCATGTGGATTATAATATATATAATTGCTTTATGTATGATAAATATAATTGTCTGGTGCATTCTCTACAGAAACTTCTTAGACACAGCATATATATGTACATATATAGTGTGCTTGATGTACTTTTTAGATTTATTTTTATTTTGTGTGTTTATATATGGGTGTTTTGCCTGCTCATGTGTCTATATATTGGCATCTCAAGATCCTCCTGTCTCAGTTTGTCAAATATTAGAATTATAGACATGTATCACCCTGCCCAGACCTTTCTTTGATCCTTCTATGAGGCTCCTCTAATATTTTGTCTTTTTTGTCCCTAATCCTATTATAAAGTTTGTTCTAATATCAATTGAAAAGATTCTTTCTCATGTCCAAAGTCAATTTACCAGCCAGGTGTGGTGGCATATGCTTGTAATCCTAGCACCGGATTGGATGAAGAATAATGTTGTTTTTTTTGTTTGTTTGTTTGTTTTTCTTTTTCGAGACAGGGTTTCTCTGTGTAGTTTTAGTGCCTGTCCTGGATCTCGCTCTGTAGCCCAGGTTGGCCCCAAACTCACAGAGATCTGCCTGGCTCTGCCTCCCGAGTGCTGGGATTAAAGGCGTGCGCCACCACCGCCCGGTTAATGTTAAATTTAAAGCCAGCCTGGTCTCTATATTGAGACCCTGTCTTAACCAACAAAAATAAACTGATCTATAGGTTTATTTCTTTATTTCTTTTTTTCGGGGACGGGGGTTCGAGACAGGGTTTCTCTGTGTAGCTTTGTACCTTTTCTGGATCTGCTCTGTCTCGCTCTGTAGACCAGGCTGGCCTGGAACTCACAAAGATCCGCCTGCCTCTGCCTCCCAATTGCTGGGATTAAAGGCGTGCGCCACCACCGCCCGGCTAGGTTTATTTCTGTATTTTTTTTCTTTCTGTTTTAGACAGGGTTTGGTTTAACCTTTATATTTATTTAGTCTTCCTGCCTCTGTGTCCCGAGTACTGGGATTGTAGGCCCTGCCACACCAGGTTTATAGAGTCCTGTCCATCAAAGCAGGGCTTCCTGCATACTAGACCCCTCTGGCACTCAGGTATGTCTTGGAACGCTGATGTGTTTTTCCTGACTGTTAGGTGATGCTGTTTGAAACAGGTCAGGCTTGCCTTGTAATCAAGAGCGATCTTGAATTCCTTATTCTTACTGCTTCCAGCTTCCGAGATGACAGGCTTGCAGACAAGTGCCATTGCTTGTGGCTTTTGTAGGGTTTGAATCCAGGCGGTGTGAGTCCTTCAGCTTTGCTCTTCTGTTAGGATTGTTTTGGCTATCCGGGGTTCTCTGCAAATCCATACAGATGTTAAGACACGGTTTTCTATTTCTGTTAAACATTTGTTTGTGTGCCAATTGGGCTGTCTCTCAGCCCAGTGTACAATTTTGCCAGTACCATTTCCTTTAGGAAATCTTATTTCCTTGTGGAATAGGATCCGGGCAAATTTCAGTTTGTCATTGCGTATAACCTTGTGTTAAATTGCCATATTTGTTGGGTTGGTGTTTTGTTTTGTTTAAGAATTTTGCTGTAAGCGGGGTGGTGGCAGCACATGCCTTTATCCCATTACTCAAGAGGCAGAGACAGGCGGATCTTTGAGTTCAAGGCCAGCCTGGTCTACAGGGCAAGCTCCAGGACAGCCAGGGCTACACGGAGAAACCATTTCTTGAAAAAGAAAAATCACACAAACAAACAAAAAACAAGTTACCAGGTCTGTTTAGAGTTTTAATAGTCTTTTGAATCAGTTTTGGAGGTTTGTGTATTTCAATAATTGGTTCATCTGTTATATGATTTTTTTTTGTACACAGTTGTTCACAGTATTGTATTTTTAATTTTTTTTTTTTGAGACAGGATCTCATAGAGCTCACGCTGTCCTCCTAAACTTGCTATGTAACTAGGGATGACTTTGAATTTCTGGTCCTCTTGCCTCCCCCTCCTAAGTGGTGAGACCGCTTCAGGCATATTGTCTGCATGCTAAGCAAATATACTACCAACTGAGTTGTTAAAGAGTTGGGGTCTTCTTGTGTTGCTCAGGCAGACCCCGAGCTATCCTGTCTCAGTTTGCCTAGTAGTTTGAACTACAGGGACAAGGCTACCCCATCGGGAAGAACTGCATTTTTAATTTTGCAATTGTAAGTTGTACATGGCTAGTAAACACGTTGGGCAGTAGACAAATCTCATGTTTCATGTCATACATTTTGTTTCATAACGTAGTGTTTCTTTACATGCATCAAGCTTAAAAATAGTCTCTTGGATGGCCTCTCATAGTACTAAATCAGAATCATCTCTTCACGGAAGAATTCCTTGCAGCCTTGTAGTATCTTGCTTTTCCTGCACTGGAAATGCCCTTTTTGAAGAAATGGCCTTTGCTTATTTGTGTGGATTAGCATTTCATCACCTGACAGACACCTAAGAAAATTCTTAGGAGAAGAACCATTCATTTGGCTCATGATCTCAGGTTCAGACCAGGGGCAGCTTGATCTGCTGCTGTGGGGCTGAGCAGAACATCGGGACAGCCGGGCTGTGTGGCAGCCTGAAGCTGCTCATGTCTTGGTGGAAGGAAGCACAGAGAATACAGGAAGAGGCCAAGATGTACCCTTCCAAGGCATGACCCCAGCAACCCACTTCTTCCAACCAGCCCTCACCTCTCACAGTTCTTCCACCTCACAACTGTCCATTCCAACTGTGACCCATCAGTAGATTAAACCTTTGATTAGATCAGCGCCCTCAGGGACTAATTGTCTCAGGTTAGAGTGAAGGTCAGTGGTGGAGCACTTTCCTAGAATGCTTGTCCTTTTTTTTAAACAGATAGGATCTCGAAATGTAGCCTGGGCTGACCTTCGCCTTGTTGTGTAGTCCAGGCTGGCCTTAGAATGGAAACTGTCTTGGCTCAGCTTCCTGGGTGCTGGGATTACAGCCTGTGCCCCCATACCCAGCTCTTTTTTGTCTCCTTAAATGGAGAATATAGAGGTTCTGAGTTCCCTGGGGACAGGCCACAGCACTGAAAACAAAAGCAATCTTTAGAACTTTGTCTTCCTTCCTCCTAGGGCTTAGCTTTTGGTTGTTCCCAGAGGAACCAAACTCAGTATCTTGTCCACTCTTGTAAATTGTTTCCTTTTTATTGTGCTAGTTTGACCTGGGGGATGGGGAGTGGGTGGTGGTTATGTACTGTAGTCCAGTGCTCTGCCACTATACACTATATCCCCAAATCTTATTTGTATATAGTTTTAAATAAAGTTTA